GGGGGGGGGCTGTTCGAAACATGGTTGATATACCTGATTGCAGTGAACAAACAAACTTTAAATTCTGACAGCTTGTCTGGACGATAGGAGTTTACTTCTCTGAAGTTTTGAAATAATCAGACGTGCAGAAATACCAAAACAGTGGGTTAAATAGTTTTAGCTGAGATTAAACGCTCATGCAGTAACATAAATCTATGTAATAATCTCGCTTCGTACCTGCGATAGACGGCGCTGCAAAACCAACGGCTGGGCTGGATCAAACGTTACTTCATTTAAATTTACAATGAATTCTCCGAGCCGCTGAACACGGCTGAATCTATCATGCGAGCATAATGAGAGGCGAATTGAAATCGCTTGCAATTGGTAGCTTTGTAACGCTTCGAATTTAAATTCTTCGTTGAATAAGACATTTGAGGAATAGTTCTTCACTTCTGTTTTATTCATGGTATTAAAGTCTTCATCTTCACCGTTTTCATTCGTCACAAACAGCTGTGCGATGATAAATAAACCTTTCGAGCCACTCTTCTGCTTTGGAGGACCTGTAACGTTGATAATAACAACGTCCAAAGATTCTTGATGAAAGTTGTACTTCACAGATAAGTTTAAGAAACAGAGTCGTGCGCTAATGTTCGGACTATTCGATGCGGAACTCCCGGGAGTGCGGATTTCGTTGGCTGCATCTTCGTAGCTACTCAACAGCCAGTTATCACTTGAAGAAACGGACAGAATCGAACTACTTCGGCGACCCGTATATTCACAGTCAGATAAGTCGTCCCCTATGCTATCATCAGTATGGTGGCCATTCCAGCGGTTTATAACAGCACCGGAGTCTTCGGAGTCGGAATAAAATCGTTCGCTGTAGTCTGTTCTTAGTTTAAGCAGGCCAGAGCTCATAGGTATTGGAGTTGTTTTTAATAAAGGTTTTGTGACCGTCAGCTTGTTGTGGCGCTTTCGGCGAAGAATATAAAAGATGACAGCGAGGACAAGACATGCCAGTAACGTCGCCACGGATAGAGCGACGGTCAACGCAGTTAGAGCAACATCGGAACCTGGAATAGAGACAAAAAGATTTAAAATTTACTGTGTAGAAAGGTAGAGGATTATTGCTATGATATTGAACAGTCTGTGTCAGTAGGTCGTGGCAATACTAAGTAAGGTAGGGATTGATAGGAATACAACTACATGAAAAATACAAGAACTTCGACATTCATGGGGAAGTTGGCCTTCGCTCGAAACGTCGAACTGAGTTCTCCTTGTATTTTTCATGTAGTTGCATCCCATTAATCTGAAGCTTTCTTATTATTGCTATGCTCTGATGAGCATGGACTTTGTCTGAACTACGTGAGGACAATCATTCACATTATTCTGACATTGCAGAAAACATTCGAGTATATCAGTGCGTCATAGGGAAAGTGAGGCCTCGAAAAGTCCTGGTGTTTTTAAAAACCTTTTCACGTAAATCAGACACAAGCCATGACAGTACTGTATATATTCGAATATTCGATCAAAGCGGTATTTCATGTCTGAGGTTTATGTTGTGATCGGATTTTAGGATTAGCAAAGGATTTGTTTTGAAATATAATCTAGGCATGCGAGACCTCTTATACGCGGGCACAAAATCATGAAACATATTTCATTAAATTGTAACTCTGAAATTAAAAATTCATGAATGTTTAAACTTTAGAATCACAACAGCATATTTCATGGTTTATTAAACTGAGATTAAAAATCTGGTCCAGTAATAATATTGTGCGGTCCGAATCCTTCACTTATAGTTGTATTACTGTATTTCTACACAAAGAGAGAGACTAAAGTGGTAAAGATTGAATCTAAAATATTTTGAAGACAAAACTACAAACGAATTGTTGAAATGCTGAAGCTGTTAGCCTTAGGGTAAGCTTGAAAAGACGAAAATATATATAGACTTTTAGTACTTGGACATTATGTGACAATTGTATAAACACTACAGACCACACACATAAATCTCGAAATCCTAACAACTATATAATACCGAAGGCGACGTTTTCCGTATTGAGTCAAATATATACAATATATAATTCCACACAATAAACAAATTTTTAAACAAAGAAATAAAAATGATTGAAAACTTACTCATATTAGCAAAGTGTGCTTTCTACTTATCTTCTTATTAAAAATCCATTTGTACTTTCCACGCGCGGATTATCGAACGAAACTAAATAAAGTGTCAAATTTGAAATATTGAACTTTGTAAGAGGAAATGGATGGTGTGTCGTTGTGTAGTGACAGTCATTGAATGAGCACAATGCTAACAATGAAGACACATATATGCATATTTAGTTCCGGCCTCGTGAGCGTAGGAGTCTGAAGGCAGAAGAAAGAGTTTTGTCTAATTGTCGCTTTAATAAGCAGCTGAGCAATTGATATACTCGCGGAGGTGGACTGGTGTATGTATTGAATCAGATCAACGATTAAGTGCACACATGTGGACAACGCTTGCCTACTGCCACGCATGCAGCTAGCTGAACACAATATGACTTAAATACGGTTAGATAATGCACAGGAAGTCATATTCCTGGCTAAAATGGAATAATGTTATACAGAAAGAACACAGGATCACTTATAATTTAATTTCACTTTCAGCCTAACCCTGGCCGCGAACAATAAGGAAGAACAGATTCCGCGAACAATAAGGAAGAACTGGCTCACATGACAGGCAAAAGACTAAAATGACATGAAAACGGTTAGATCATGTAGAATAAGTACATACTCCTGCCTAAAATGGATCAGTACTGTACAGAAAGAATACAAAAAGAACGGACTTTCAATTCCACTCTCAGGCTAACCCGCAAACGATAAGGAAGAACGATTCACATGACAGGCAACAGACTAAAATAATGACATGAAAACGGTTAGATCATGTAGAATAAGTACATACTCCTGCCTAAAATGGATCAGTACTGTACAGAAAGAATACAAAAAGAACGGACTTTCAATTCCACTCTCAGGCTAACCCGCAAACGATAAGGAAGAACGATTCACATGACAGGCAACAGACTAAAATAATGACATGAAAACGGTTAGATCATGTAGAATAAGTACATACTCCTGCCTAAAATGGATCAGTACTGTACAGAAAGAATACAAAAAGAACGGACTTTCAATTCCACTCTCAGGCTAACCCGCAAACGATAAGGAAGAACGATTCACATGACAGGCAACAGACTAAAATAATGACATGAAAACGGTTAGATCATGTAGAATAAGTACATACTCCTGCCTAAAATGGATCAGTACTGTACAGAAAGAATACAAAAAGAACGGACTTTCAATTCCACTCTCAGGCTAACCCGCAAACGATAAGGAAGAACGATTCACATGACAGGCAACAGACTAAAATAATGACATGAAAACGGTTAGATCATGTAGAATAAGTACATACTCCTGCCTAAAATGGATCAGTACTGTACAGAAAGAATACAAAAAGAACGGACTTTCAATTCCACTCTCAGGCTAACCCGCAAACGATAAGGAAGAACGATTCACATGACAGGCAACAGACTAAAATAATGACATGAAAACGGTTAGATCATGTAGAATAAGTACATACTCCTGCCTAAAATGGATCAGTACTGTACAGAAAGAATACAAAAAGAACGGACTTTCAATTCCACTCTCAGGCTAACCCGCAAACGATAAGGAAGAACTGACTCACATGACAGGCAAAAGACTAAAACAATGACATGAAAACGGTTAGATCATGTACGATAAGTACCTACTCCTGCCTAAAATGGATCAGTACAAGAAGAATACAAAAAGAACGGACTTTCAATTCCACTCTCAGGCTAACCGACGAGCACATGCATACCACGCTGGCTAAGAACCACCGACTCACATGACATAACAAATGAAAATATTGGACTTGAATAACTTAGAGATTCTTGCACTTCACTTGGTGGAATTAATATTGAAAATGATGAAAATGTTGCCATATTATGCAATCCCAGTTGAGTACGTTAAGTCTAGTTTACACTATCAAAGTTTCTGTGATCACAGTAGGAGTTTTGCATGGGTAAATTCTACGTTTTGAAGGATTTGTAAGAAATGTTTAAGGGAACTGACTTAATGTTTAACACTGAATCAGTTCCCTTAAACATTTCTTACAAATCCTTCAGAACTTAGAATTTACCTATGCACAGTTCCTACTGTGATCACAGAAACTTTGATAGTGTTAACCAGGCTTTACGCGGGGGAAAAGTCCATCCAATGCTTCTACAATATCATGTGCGAGTTTTTTTACAGCCCAAACCAAGCTTCCAAGAAAAATATACATGTCAAGGTCTGGTAAACATACGGCCTAATCTCACGACTATTAAGTTGTTGACAAGAGTTATAGTTATTTGGGAAATTTTTTTTTTTAAATCAAGAATGTTAAGGCTTAAAGAAAAAAAATATTTATCTCATAATTATTCATAACGGTCGTAAAGGATAGAGTCACGATCTCTCTCAACGACCACATGATAATAGTTTTTTACTATCTGTAAACCACATATAAATCATAAGTATCCTCTATTTATAATCACTCTTCCTATTTTTAGTTCTAAACTGTTGTATTTCGGCTGTTGAGAAAGATCGTGGCTCAATATTTACGACCGTTACGACCATATAAAAACCAAGCATAAATATCAATGAATATCTCTTGTGATATCTGATCATCGGTGGGTGTTCTTAGTCGGCTGGTAGTGTGGCCTGTACATTGAAAGAAAGTTCTTGTCAGTTAAACATCAAATCTCTTGCGAGTAGGGCGGAATAAAGACAAGATGGTCAACGTATTATATCAATTCGTACCGCCTCTGCGAAGCAGAATGCCTTTTCCCACATGAAAAGTGTTTCAGGCTAACCAAGGCTAAAATAAGACGACTACCCCAAGATTCAACATCACATCAGCACGATAACAACTGCACGATAACCGGATATTTAAATTGGCCAACA